TGGCGAAACGGATGCTGGTGCACGAGCTGTCTGTACACCGCAAGTTTGAGGGAAACACAATAGACAAACCCGTCGAGCTCTGTAAGACATTAAACCCTAAACCCTAAACCCCAAACCCCAAACCCTAAACCCTAAACCCTAGACCCTGAGTGATGATAAACCCTCGAGCAGAAGGACAGGTTACACCTCAGCCTTCTACCCTATACATCCCCTGTTTCTTTTATTTAATTAAAAAACTAAACAAGTAAATATATAAAAAAAAAAAAAATATTCAATAGAAAACAATAAACTTTCGGGTGTATGTGTGAGCTATGCATGCAGTGGTACACCGCGTAGGCCAGCTCTATGACTTTCATCTAAACATGTGGCAGTTCACCTCCTCTCCTCAGGGTGTGGGGGCCCCCCCTGGGGCCCCCAAGGCCCTGGGGGGCCCCCCTACTGAGGGGGGGGTACCAGCAGCTGCTACAGAGCAAGAAGGGGAGGCCCACCCGCTGCCGCAGTTTGTGCAGCCTGGGGTGTATAGGCAGCTCGGCAACGCCGCAGATGAGCAGCTGCATGCTGCAGCAGCAGCAGCTGCTTTTGCTGCTTCTACTCCTGCTGCTGCTGCTGCTGCTGCTGCTGTTCCTAGTGCTGCAGCAGTAACAGCTGTCGAGCAGCAGCAGTAATATAAATTGCCTGTTTTCTTTCTCTTTTGTTATGTTTGTTTCTCTGCATAAAGAACTCTCAAAAGATTGGGTTTAAATACCTCTGTCTCACCGAAACCCTAAACCCTAAACCCTAAACCCTTTTTCTTTCTCCTTGCGCACAGCTGCTTAGAGACAGAGAAAGACAGACAGAGACAGACAGAGACAGAGGGGGAGACAGAGAGAGAGAGGCAGAGAGAGACAGAGAAAGAGACAGAGAAAGACAGAGAGAAACTTAGTTCCTTTTGTTGTTGGCGTTAAGAGCAGCAGCTTCTCTGTTCTCTAATAAAGTACTAAACATTGTATTTACTACTAACATATATATATATATATATATATATATATATATATATATATATACATA